CATATCTGCTATTGTATCTGTCATGTGTGTTTTGTAATATTAAAAAATATTTACAAAATTAACACATTAAGTCCACCCGCATCACTTTTCCACCATGTTGTTCGGGAAATAATACTTTTTCTAGATAAAAAATTCAGGTCTCACACTCTCAGATTTGATGCTACTTTTTAGGAGTTCTAACACTTCTTTTAGTTCTCATTAAGGTAAGGTTCTTTAAATAACACCGCTCCATAACATGAAAGAAGATCTCATTGATCGTCTGCAATATAGGTTGGGAATAACTTTCTTGCTCACTACAACATGAAAGAAGATCATATGGATCCCCTAATAAGCTTGGGATAACAAAATAAGATCACGTTGATTGCCTACTTTACAGATCGAGATGAATTCCTTCTTATAGGAAATCTTTTTTATCAGCAATTTTATGGGAATCATTATTTTTCCTCCTCTCCTAGGCATTTCTATTTGCTCAAAACAATTGCAATTTTATATAAAAAAAGATGTATGACATTAAAGTAGAAAATTGTTTTAGGCATTACGAAAAAAATTAGTTGTGCCCATTAAAATAAAAAAAACTATTTCAAGCAAAATAAAAAAGAAAACTATATCAACCATTTATAAAAAGGAAAAAAAGTACTCCTGTATGCTGCTGTTGACATCGTCGGTGTGAGGAGCTCACCATCTGCTTTAAATGCCTATCGTCCAGGCTTCTGCCATCATCCATTCGCATGAGATCCCAGCAGTTCATTTTGGAAACTTGTTAGAGTCTTATCTAAAAAAAAAATAAAAGGCAATTTAGTATATATGTATTTATGTAGATAGGCACATCATGAAAAATAAAATACTCCATATTCAATATTTTTGGATGGCAAAATTATCGCTCCTAAAAATATAGAGGCAACTGATATCTCTTCAACAAATTTCCAACATCTGACACTAAACATAAGGAATGACACAGATCACGAGGTGAACTTTTGAGTAAGAAATACTCAAACTTCAATAAACTTATATTCAAACTAACTTTCTTTATAAGTCAAACCCAATGGTATCAAAAATTTATCCAATCCAAACCAAATCAAGCCTGATAGAGCCATTAAGTCACTTTTGGAAGCACATTTTGAGAAAGTTAATTAAGTGTTTAATCTTGTGATCATATCATCAAACCGAGTGTCTCGATAAGATAAATACAATGAGCCTAAGATTGCTTAGTTCTGACATTTTAAAGATACTTGAATGTTCATCAAAGATCGTCTAATTGTTGAAATCTCTCTCGGTTGTGCGATTAAAGTGGTTTTGATTCCTTCAATAGTTGAAATCGGGACACTATAGAGAAAGTACTACCTCCTCTTAAGAGGGGACCTAGAGCTTGATGCTTGAAAAAAACTAGAGCTTGGAGATGGAGCTAAACTCCAGCATCACTTCTACACTAACGATCAGAAAAATGCCTCCCACTCCAGCAGCCCTTCACTATCACCAACCACTATCGACCACCAATCGCCAGTTGCCTAGATCACCATCGGTTGCCGCCCACTCCTTGTGACGAATCACCTTACAAAACCACATACAAAGTGGTGCATCATCCCAGATGTCGTTCGATGGTGAATTGAAGCTCTAAGTTTTACTCTTGGTTGTTATCCTCCTTATAACCTGGCGACAAGTTCATTTGCTCATGGAATTTCTAGCTCAGAAGATTGTCTAACAATTTCCCACTGGTAGGCTATATCAATAATCACCAATTTATAGTGGATTTTTTCAACTAGCCTTACTAAGTCCTGTGACTTTTTTCCTTTCTAGATTTTCCACGAAAAATCTTCTGGCGTTACTGCCAGACACTTTTTATTACCTGAAAGTGTGCAAGATTCTCGTACAATGCTAAACCATTAGTTAATCACTCAACTGCTGCGAATTCTTTTACACTAAGAAAATAATAATAATAACAAATATAGTAATAAAAATGTACTCCAAAAAATGATATACACAAATCTCGAGAGGATCTAAAGGTCTAGATAAAAAGATATATGAAGAAAACATACCAAAATTATATATGAATATCAAAATGCACCATAAGAACCTATAATTCCCTTATTAAAGTGGGAACCATAAAAAGGCACCTTACAGACCTTTAAGTCCAAATTAAATTGGGGACATAAAAAGACACTATAAAGGCTTATAACTCTCTCATTAAAATAAGGGCAAGCATGTAATTTTAGAGTTGGTCCCTCTATCTTCTTTAAATAGGGGAATCGTACCACGTATGAGAAAGAGTGGGGGTTTTGGCTCTTTTTTTTAGTCCTATTTTCTGTAAAAAGATACACTCCCCTTTTCTTGTAATACCAATATTGTCAGCATAAAATTGGTTAAATAGGCTAAAGATTCCTCAGTTCTCCTCTATGGGGCAATTCCATTCATTCTATTTTATATCTTTTTCCTTCACTGCCTTTTTTTCTCTCCTAAGGTCCTTACTACTTCGATTCTTTGGCATGCCTCACAGGACAAATTTAGATTCAACATCTTCAAAAGTAAGGTGAGCATGGAGAAAGCTAACAACAAGAAGAGAAGCGATGCAAACAAAGATAAATAAATACATCTCAAAGACACTCCTAATAGGAAGTGCATTAAAGAGTTTATTTAACAACAGATCTGGAGTCAGAAATGCCACTTCTGTTGACTTTATAGAGGCTTTGGCTAGGAGGCAAGTACCATGTATCGCTGGCTTGCAACGGTCAAAATAAGCCAACTAACTGTACATGCTCGCCGCTTGGTTAATTCCGAGTGGTTAACACCCCATCTAGCAAATAAACTGAGTGTTACCTCACAACTTATCAAGTTTAATGTTACAAATTTCTCTAAAATTATCCTAAGTTCAATTGATATTCAACAAACTCAATTCTGAGTGGGCGAACAAAATGTAAGAAATAAAAATTTCTCCTTCGAGACAAGCAAACAAAATATTTCTCTCTGAGGTGAGAAAATAAAAGAATTCTCTCCATGGCAAGCAAAAAAAATGTCTCCCCTCCAATGGAGACCAAATGAAAGAACTTCGGGATGAGCGAGAAATTGACGGTCCGACCTGAAAAATGGGATGGACGAAGAATAAAACTACAGCTGGATGGTATCACGACTTGTAATTTTCTCAAGAGCTAGGTCGCCAGTCAATACAGACAACCAAATCAACACAAATGAGTACCTCAACACAACACTAAAAAAATGTTGACTGAGGGAAAAATGCTTTTGAGCTGACAAAATAGTGCAAGAGATGACAGAACAGAGCGTAAAGAACACCTAAATAGGGAGTATCATCAGTGATTCATGCAATCATTTTTTTTTTCTTAAAGAAATTTCTTCTATTTATCACTACTGTCCCTATCAAAAAGCCAAAAAAAATTGTATGATTTAAGATGCAAACCCAAAAATGGTCTGCATGAACCTTAAAACAATCTAATGGTCTAGATAAAAAGATAGATGATGAAAAGGTGTCAAAATCGGTTATGACCAGAAAAATGCATCATAAGGACCTGTAACTCCAATATTAAAACGATAACCATAAAAATACGTCATAAAGACATGTAACTCCTCCATTATATTAGGAGCAAACATGTAATTTTTTACATGGTCCCTCTATCTCCTATAAATATGGAAATCATATCATGTTTAAGGTGGGGTGGGGTGGGAGAATATCTCTCTCCACTTCTCTTATAATCCCTATATTCTAAAGATAAAATGGGTCAGAGAGCCTGGGATACCTCGGTTCGCCCCTACGGGAATATTATATTTTTTCTCTTCTCTATCTTTCTTTTTCTCTTCTAACGTCCCTACTGTTCTGATCTTTGGGCATGCCTCACAAAACAAATTTGGATACAACAAATAATAATAGTGATTATTATATTATTATTATATGGAAGATCAAAAACAGTTTGCAGCCTCTAATGATATTTTGATTTAAATGATAAATATATAGAGCTTAGAGATTGGAAGAATAAACATTACCTCATGAGATATGATTTTATCTTTAAATATACAAAAGTTTTGTAGAGGGCAATTCCATGAAATATGCGAGTGCAGGAAAAGCAAAGCTACTGGGAGCTACATTACTTGAATGGTGAATTTGTGCCCAAGACATGAGTTTTGCAAAACCTTAGGGAAATGAGTTAGCTCCACCGTGGTTGGATATAACGTCTTTTTTTTTTTTCTTTAGACTCATCCATATATTTTTCATTACTATTTTTTATATTGAATTTTTATTAACAAAAGCATTGTCCTTTCTTGTTCAAAATAAAAATTAGCAGATCTTCTTCTAGGAATATAGCTTGACAAAAAATAATTCTCATAAGAACATATGCAAAATGAGTAAATTATCGAGAGGTTCCTTTTTAGATGTCAATCATGGGATGGAGATGAATTAAGATGAGAGGGTGCAAGGGATCGACTCATTCACTCAATTTTCAGTTATCATAAATAACTTAACACAAAAAAATTTGAACTGCCTTACTAAAATCAAACCATATGGTGATCGAAGAATACCATATCTATAGTTATTGCACCAAAAATTAATTTATCATTTAATATCAACAATTTGTTAAGATTAGATTAATTTTTTGCTCAATTTGAACATGAATCTAACTTCAAAAAATCACATATACTAATTTATAATGAAATTTAACTTGAATCCAATAAGAACAAATAATTAGTAGTCAATTTTGAGTAGGAAACCTAACTCTAAATATAAGTTTTAAAACTCCTTACTTAGATTTCTAATATCAGTTTCTCTTAAGTGCAATCAAAATATCAAAATTCATAAAACAAAGCCTACACTTAACGCCACCGGGCAAGAAAGAACTACTTCCTGGACTCTGCCGCTGCCAGGCTGGCAGAGGGCTGGCAACCTCACACGTGTGCGGCACCTGCCGAAATAAGTGTGATTATCTCATTAATCCTCACAGGTTAAGGAATGCAACGGCTACGGCTATTAGCTTATTTAAACCCTACTCAGCTCCCCATTCTCCTTCCCCCTCCGCCTCTCTCTTTCCCGTTTTTCGATAATCATCAACAATTTGGAGATTCTCTCCATTTTTCCCCTCCGCATTGAGCCTCGCCTAGCTTAGCTTTCATATTCCGGTTGGTTCCTCTTAAGAACCCTCTACCTTTTATACCTTTTCAGGACAAACAATTTAATTTTTTTGAAAATTCTTAGATGTCTTTATCCAATTTCATTTTTTGTGATCATTAGTCTTCCGAAGTTCCAATTTTTAGCGGCTTCTGTAAACTTCGCTAAATCATTCTAAAAGCTTATATCATTTATATGCTTATTTTAATTTCTATAGGAAAAACATGAAAGAAATGCTTTCCATACAAATTAGTATCTAAAATGTTTATATTTGGCTTTTCAAGGGTTTTTTTTTTTTAATTTTCCTAAATGGCCTACGAGGATCTGTATCATAAGGACCTGAAGTCGAAGGTGGATTGCCTGATTTTTGGTAAGCATTTTTTCCTTGAAATATTGCTTTCTACAGATCAGTACAGTAATGTCTGTTTCATGTTCACCTTTATTTATTTGCGTTTTTCCCCCTCTTTTGGGCTTAAACATGAAGATCTTGATGATACTTTATACCCTCTGAGCTCTGGCATAGCTAGCGAGTGCCTCAAAAACATCGGAGGTTGATTTCTTTCTGAGCTTCGTTCTTCTGATCCTCTTAATTAACCCTCTGCTCGGTGTGCTGATATGCTCTTTATATTTGTTCGATCCATAGAGTATATGGTGGAGAAGCTTGGGATTGAGAAGAGCAAAGTCTCAGAACTATGCAACCTGCTTTATAAGAACTATGGGACAACGATGGCTGGATTGAGGGTAATTAAGTTCATTCCAATGTCCTTATTATCTACTTTGTGCTCATTCTGAATTTCGGGCTTATGTTGTTTGCTTTGTTCATTTTGAAGGCAATTGGTTATTCTTTCAACTACGATGATTACCACAGGTTCTAATCATTTCCCCACTTACTATTTTTCTTCATTTTATTTCATATTTGCTTAGATGTTGATGTTGTGTTCTTTGCCAAACTTGTAGTTTTGTGCATGGGAGATTACCTTATGAGAAGCTGAAGCCGGATCCCATCCTTAAGCATCTTCTACTCGGCCTGCCAATTCGTAAAGTTGTAAGCTTTGCAGAAACTGATGACTACAAAGAAAACTAATACCTTCCGTTTTCTTCATCATCACTAACTTTGCTTTCTCAACAGATATTCACCAACGCCGACAAAGTTCATGCCGCCAGAGTGCTGAGCAGGCTCGGATTGGAGGATTGTTTTGAAGGAATTATATGTTTTGAGAGCCTTAATGATCCCAATTGCGAATCCTGCTGCGCAACCAAACTATTCGACATTTTGGAGCACTCTGCTAGGCCTATTGCTGGTGTAGCGCTCCCAAAGACACCAGTTCTTTGCAAACCGTCAGAGTCTGCCATGGAGCTTGCTCTTAAACTGGCTAATATTGATCCTAAAAGAGCTGTAAGCACATCACTAATGATCAATTAAGAAAACACAGTTCGCATGTGCTTGAATACTTGCTAAATTGCGTTTCAAATTATTCTCTAGATCTTCTTCGATGATAGCGTGAGGAATATACAAGCAGCTAAGCGGATAGGTCTCGGCACAGTGCTGGTGAGAATTCACACTAAAAGCAGTAATTGCCAATGGTTTCTGTTCTGGAATTCACGTTTATTCAATAGTTTGATTGATTTATTGATTGTATAGGTGGGTTATTCGCATGGGGTTAAGGGCGCAGATCACGTCCTTGAGAGTATCCATAACATTAGAGAAGCACTGTCTGAGTTTTGGGAAGAAGATGAGAAGTCAGAAGATGTGCTGTATCAGAACAATATAGCAATAGCGACCACGGTTACAGCTTGATTAATTTCATTAAATTGCAGTTTTTTCCGGTTACTACTATATGTATAAGTTGGATAGGAAGGGGATAAATATATATATATATATATATATATATATATCATTGCAGGATTTTGGTATCTCTCAGTTCTCATTGTAATATAAATAACTAATTAGATCAAGTTCTCTTCGCTTTTGTGCCGCTTCTTTTGATATGATCTCATATATAATGATGGATGTTGGATTGAGACTTCTGAGGGGATGAAGGATGATTTGATGGAATTGAATGGGAAATGTCGAATCATAATGGGTTGAGATTTTTTGGTCTTATTGTGAAAGGTCGCAGTTGGTTTACATACTCAAGTCTGTGTTGGAGATTGTGATTCAATTCACTTGGAGTGAAATTTTACTGATGGTGTCTCACTCCTTATTCGAAAGGTGATACACTCAAGCAAAATGGGACATGATGAATAAATATAAAACCTTATTTTGCATTCACTAGAATAAATTTTAGAGAAACAATTGTAAACAAAATTTACTGGCAGAATTAAATGATGAAAATAACATTACATTCAATCAATTAAACTTATAGCATGATTCCAATTAAAAAAAGCATAAGAAGCTCAAAAACACAACTGCGAAAGTCGAAAACTGCTTAACACAAAAGAAATATAGATATCACTAAAATTTCATAAATTGGGCAAATCCATACATAGCACTTAAAACTGTCATTTACAGAGCTAGTGCTCTGGTTCGTTTGTTCTTAAATTCTAACTCAAATATCAAAATTCATGATAAAGCTCCGACTCTTATTTTGAATTTCTATGGAATTTCCCATGATTTAATTTTGGCACATGTAAATGCACTGATTAAATAGTTCAAAAAATGGCCTGTGTGCTAGTTTTGTAAATAGTAAAGTTTCGATTTGTGCACAAAATAATCCCAAATTTAAATACCAAAGCAAGGGTAATGTTGAAAATTCTACTTTAGAGGCAATGGTTGATATCTTTCACTCTCATTATAGAAATCATAGATTTTAAGTTCATTAATATGTGTGTGGGAGTTTGTGATTACATTTGCTCAATTTTTTTAAGAAAAAATAACTCATGAATGAGTTTTCAATTAAATTTGCTTCATTGTAGATCGAAACAGAAAGATGATTAACGAAAGATAATGTGGTCAATGTAATAGGACTAGCCCATAAGGGCATGGAATTTTGTTTGTTTTAATGGACCTTTTATGATCATCTTCGTTAGCATAATGACTCTTCCAAATCTACTAGTTGTGACTAGAGGTGTAAACAAGCAGAGCTTGAGTGAGCTTAGGTTATGTTCGTGTTTGGCTCGCTCAAAGTTTATTTGTTTGAATTTGACTTATTTTCAAAGTTGCTTCTGAATAGCATGCATGTTCAACTCGAATTATAATTAGTTGTTCTTGTTAATAAATTTAAGCATTTTTTAAATAAAATAAAAAATTCAACATTCATATGTACAACAACCACAACAAAAGCTTTTTCCCACTAAGTGGGGTCGGCTATATGAATTTTTTTTTCTCCGTTGTGTTTTATTTAGTGACATATTTTCATTTAATTCTAATAAATTAAGGTCATGTTTTATACAATATGTCCAAATCTTCCTAGGTCTACCTTTGCCATTCGTAACATAGGCCAAATCTAAAACATCTACTCTTCTAATCGGATGAACAAATGATCGACGTTTAATGTGACAACCATCTAAGACGACTCTCTAATTATGTCTGTCACTGGAGCTTCACCAACCTTATATGGAAGAAATTTATCCTTCAGTGAAAAAAAATTTATTGCTTGAATTGTATGATTGTAATTTACAAATAGTTTTACAACCAATAATTTAACCAAAGTACAAACAATAATTTTTTAATAAATAAAAACTATATCACACACCAAAATATATATATATAAAAAGAAAATATAATACATTTAATATTCATCAGTGTTCATTTTCCCCGATCTCCAGGCTATACCTATAAATTTTATTTGACAAAAAAATCCAAATAAGCAATGATGAGATTAGAACATAAATTATGATACTAATAAAACTTTTATTTTATTTAAAATTATAAAAGACCTCATATTATAAATTTTCAACTATTTATCTTATATTCAATGTTGTTGCACGCTCAACCTGCCACTCCAAACAAAAAAAAGTCAGATTTCAGTTTTAGATCTACCTATCATCCATGATGGTACTTGTAGAAGAATAAGAGTTATAATTTCAAATAATTTTACTTGAATGAAAGGCAACAAAAAAAAATACCAATAATCATTACAATCATAAGCTCTTTGTTTTTCTATTCATTGCTCTTCTTATCCTCTTAGAGATTGTAGTCACATGCCAAACCAATAATGAAGTATTGAAGTAGTCACAAACTTAAAATTTGAATGGCTAAAATCATTATTGCCTTTTATGAAATAAAAAAAAGTTAACTAGTTAAGCAAAAAAATGTTGCATATCAAAATAAACCCAAGCAACTATAGACAAATCCCAAACACTTTCAGCTGAAATTTAAATTCACTGCTATCTGAAATTTCAATTTTTACACAATAATCCTATAAAATTAAAAAATTTAGCATTCAAGTAACCAACCATTGATAGACTAAATCATATAACACAACCAACCAATTGAAGCAACTTCCAAGCAATTAGTCTATAAATTAAATGATTCACATTCACCTGACCAAAACTACCTAAATGCTTGAACCAACCAGTAATAAAAAAAAAGAAAAAGTAAATATAAATTTCTACTGAAATAAAAGCCAAACAGAGGACTAAGCAGCATGAATTCCTATATGAGATGAAAAATAAAATACCAAACAATAAATTAAATGGAAACTTCTGTTGAAGTATTAGTCAACCAGGGAACCAACTACCAAATATGATGCATATACTAGTACTAGGAAGCTAAATAACCAACTAGGGATCCAACTACCAAGCAACTCGAATGCTTGTACCATATAGCAAAGTAACTATATAGCAAACTAAATATAAATTTGTACTGAAATAATAACCTAAATAGGGGATTAAACAACATGAATTCTTGTACCGTGCAATGAAATAACCAAATAACAAACTAAATGTAAATTCCTAAAAAAGTAATAATCAACCAAGGAACAAACTAGTGAATATAACACATGGACCAGTTCGACCCCACAAAATTACCAACAAAGAAACCAACTACCACAAAACCTCAATGCATGTACCAAGTGGGAATTTTTTTATGTTGACTTGTCCACTACGTATCTCGAAAGATTTCAATCTAAATAATCAGATGTGTTATTTAAAGAATACGATATTGAGATGAAAATCTTTTACATCTAAAAAAATTTCGATCAATCTAAAATCAAAACTATACCCCGTAATAGGATCACACCAAATCAATAAAAAAAATATTAAAATGGTAGCACAACAAAAATAATCCAAAAAAACTCATCATGTTTTAATGTGGAAAAACCCAAGAATTGGAAAAAACTATAAAGACAGAACCCCAAAAAAATTTCCACTATTAAATTTAGAAATGTAAAAAATACTCACTCGAAACTCTCTACAATCGATGGACTTTCATTCAAATTTTTCCTCTTAATCTCACAAGAGAAAAGCATGATAAAAACTTCCTCTCTAACACTTATCTGAATCACAAACCCTTTGTCAAAAGAATTGCACACGTGCATCTACTTCATCACTGGAATGCAGGATTTAATCCAAAACGAAAGAGCAACTGCACCTGACATGCCAGCGCCACTCATTGTTGCAAGAATGTAGCGTTGTATGTAAGTGGAAGCATAGGTGCTTGATAGACGTGTGTGGGCATTGCAGACCCCTTCACAGATGCAGTCATATAGGCCCGAGCACACTCATATGCGCTTAATGCCCTCTGTATGTTGGTGTGGGTGAGCTGTCTAGTTGCTTTTGTGTCATGTCTAAAAAAACTCTATTGTTTATTCAGATTTCTTATGGCTGTGAGTGCTCCTCGGGCTTCACACCTCAACAATCTCCCACTTGAAAATTGAAGGCACCCAACATCTATCTTCCATCTCTACACCTTCATATGTATTATCTTCATATTCACATACCATGGTGTGGGCCACCCCTATTTATAAGCATCTTGAACTACAACTAAGGCCAATTGTAACTCTAATTTTTTGAAAGTCACTGACATGCCCTAAAATGTGATACTTTTATATATACATTTTATGCTAATTTTTAAGGATATTGAGCTTTAATGGAAGGTATTTTATGTGTTTTTATTCCAGACACAAGAGATGAAGTTTAAGAGAAAAAAGAGAAAAAATGAAGCAAAATAGGGTCAAATTGAGCAATGGAACAAAAAGTGACCTGGCGCCTAGGCGCCAGGTAGTTAAAACGGGCTTCTAGAACATTGGCGTATGGCGCCATAAATGGTTTGGACTTTTTGTGTATTGAATTTGGACGAATTTTGAAGGGGTATTTGAAGTGACTATTGGTGTTTTTAAGAGCTTTATTTAAAGAAATGATGGTTGGTCGAAAGGGGAGCTTTGGAGGGCTTGATTAGTGGTGAAGAGTTTTACGAAGGGGCGCGAGGCTCTCTTGTGTGTGTGCTGTGTGCGTTATGAGTGAGAGTTTTTTTGTGTGTCTTAAGAGAGTAAGAAGTCATCAAAGGAGCTTCAAATGATTTGCTTAGGGAGAAGTCTCAAATAAGTACTGTATTTCAGTTTGAGTTTTATTTTACTGTGTAAACTTGGATTTTCATATAAATTATGTTTTGTTGTGTTGTCCCCATGAAGTCTGAGTTGTTTCATTTATTTATCTCTTTGTAATAAGAAGTAGTCATGTGTAGGATTAGAATTATTTAAGATTTATCTTATGTCATAGTTGTGATGATTCATCACGTCGTACTTTATTTACATTTTCAAGCTGGCCAATTAGAATATTAAAATCTGTTGTAAATCAATAATAATCCGGGAGGGCTATGTGTTCCTCAATTAGAAAGAATCACATTTAATATAGTGGCTCAGAAGGTAATTCATGGGTTAGTGCAAATATATAGGGAGATAAATTTTGGTGGGTGTAGATTGATGATTCTAAGGTAACAGACTAGAACCATAACCAATTTGATATATTATTTGGAACCTAAAGATTGGTTAATCCTATAGAGAAGGCACAGCTGGTTATCTAGAGGTGAAAATCTAGAACCTAGCAAGCATAA